CTTTGGTTCCACCCTTAGTACCCAGATTTCCATTCTTGAAGCAGGCTCTTTTATCCCTGCGCCTGCGGCGCCAAACAGCTCTTGGGTGCAGTTGCCAAGTTTTTAAACGCCTCGGGGAGTCGTCGCGACCCTCCGGGTGTCGCCCTCCAAACCCCTAGCGGCCGCGGGTTCAAGCTTCAGTCGCTGGCCGATGCCCCGCACCCATCCGGGAAGCAACAGCTCAGAGTGAGGTGCCCATGGAGAAATCCCCGAGAGCGAGCAGGGCGGGAATTGGCCTCTGCCTACAGTGGGAGAGGCCGGGAGGCCACCGGGGTTTAGAGTTCAGGTCCCGGAACCAGTCCTGGTGCAGGCGGCCCTGGAGCGGTGCCCCTTTGCAGGTCGCGCGCGTAGCCACAGATGCACCATCCCGTCTGCCTAACCACCCTTTATCAGATTAGGACAGTTGCTGAAAAGTGATTCAAGCTCACTGAACACTGGCCCTTGTGAAAATCGAAGTGTTAATTAAAGAAAGTTGTCAGGCAAAATTTACAGCTTGCGCCCTGGGGGGAGTTACTGTGGGGTGAGTGTTTAAACACTTTATCTTCTTGAGAAGTCATGATCTCTTTGGTCGGCAGCAAGAGTGGAGGGAACTGTTTGTGCAGCCGCAGGAGCCAAAGTCCCCCTTAGAGGAGCTAGAGTTAGGGTCGGGCTGCGATAGGTAGCGCGGCGACTGGTCCCGAGGAGTAACCAACTTATCAGGTCGCTGGGGCAGTGACGAGGCTTGAGTCTGCCTTGCTCCTGTGAGACATTCGTACGCGCTGTTACAGCCCTGCAGCCGGTTCCTCTGCCTGGAATGAGCCCTTCATTTCCCGGGTCCGCTCAGGGGAAAGGTGGTGAAATCCTCAAATCTGCTTCCTTATGTGGTTAATAAAAGATCTCAAGCAGAGCCTGGGGGGGGGGAAAATTATAAGTGCAAGTGAGTGCTTTGCGTGTTTTAACGTTTAAAATCTCGACTCCGGTGAATCATTGAATCATATATTGCAAGTTTCAGTGTCTAACCAAGTTTGGGGGACGCCTATTACTCATGCTGATAAAATCTCTGCACTGCGCTCCCCAAATTTGCCTCTCTCAAACGGAAAGCTGGGCCGAGCGGGGGTGGGGAGGGTCTCCAGTCCGAGACGCTGCGCTCGGGGCTTCTGCCCAGTTTCCTGCCTCAGAGTCGCCGCGTCCGCCCCAGCCCAGAGCAGTTTGTGCAATTTAGAAACTCGATAGGAGGCAGCAGCTGATCTCCCACCACCCTAAAAATAATCCGCTCCGGCGCCCTGCGTCCTTCGGCTAGGGGAGGAAATCTCTGCCTTCGGAGTAAGTGAGTGAGTCCGTGTCTTTTACATCAATATCCTATGAAATTTTTAAGAATAACTGTAAGCTGTCTATTTGGATCTAACATTTAGGCCCCCCAAAGGCTCCCGCGCACTCGCAGCATTTTGCCTTCACGGTGGCTATTTCTAGGATTAAGGGACCGGGCCCCAGCCGGAGATGAGAGGGCGTGGGGATCAGGTTTCCAGCTTTCCTTACAAAACTCTGCGGGCTCCTACTTGTTAAACCAACTGGAGCTAGTGCAAGGAGTTATTACTAATTTTTTTTTTCTTTTAGACATTTCCTGTATTGTTCGTAAAGTAGCTTTCTATATGCTTAATGTTTGTTACTCTGCTTTTTAGGGATTCTGCTTCTCGGTTTGAAGTGTACACGTAACACGTAGGAAGCCGGTGTTTTGAAGGTAGTGCAAGTGCACCAAGTAGGGGTTTGAAGCAGCTGCAAGCGATTGCCCAAGGTATTTATTTGTTNGTATCTTTTTGGGAATCATGATTATGTCAGACATTTTGGATTTTCCATGTATAATGGATAGTTTTTATGAAAATTATACTTAACAAATTTGATTTTAAGGTACATTATATATATTTCTAATAAAAACAAGCGTGCTTTGTCTTCTCTTATTGATTAATACCATTCTGGAATTTAGAGTTGATAAAATTCAAGAGAAAATACAAATAAGCTATAAGTATTTGAAAGGGGAAAGCAAGTTGTTTTAGTTAGTTTGGGCTGCTGTAACAAATTACTAAAGACAGGGTGGCTTAAACAACAAACATTTACCTCTCATGGTTCTGGAGACTGGGAAGTCCAAGATCAAGGCACCAGCAGATTCGGTTATTGGTGAGGGCCCTCTTCCTGGTTTGCCAATATTCTACCTTCTTGCTGTGTCCTTACATATGGAGAGGAGGGAAGGAGAGGAGATTTAGTATCTTTCTCTTACATGGACATAAATCCCATCATGGGGGCTCCACCCTCATGACATCACCTAAATCTATTAAGCAACACCTCCTAATGCCATTCCATTGGGAGTTAGGATTTCAACATGTGAAATTTGGTGGGGGAGGGACAAAAACATGCAGTGCATAACACAAGTGTACCACTATTTGCAGACAATATCATATATTCTGGAAAGTCAAGGTAACATGATAAAACAATACTGAGATTATTGAGAAAATTTAGTAAGTGGTTGAGTATAAAATAAATATATAACCTGCTAAAAAATATAAACAACTGGTGCATTCTTAACAGCAGTACAACATTTGAAAACAAAAATATAAAATTCGTATGATCAATCATTTCTTGTAATCATTTCTTGTAATCATTCATATGATCAATCATTTCTTGTACAAGAAATGTACAAACTTGTAAAAATTTAACATTGAACTGAAAAGAAGACAAAAAAATGGGAAACTATGTTTCTGGATGGAAAGACAGAACAATAAAATATAATATTTCTTTATAAATTACTTAACTAGATTTAACAAAATTCTAAAAAATTTCCCCAAAGAGAATAGCTATGAAAAATTTGTAAAGAGCAAAAAGGCAACTGACACTCCCAGTGTTAAAATATACTTTACAGTTATAATAATTATATACATCTGATCATAGTAATAACAACAAAAAATAAAAAACAGATCAATTGAACAGAGTAGGTAGCCCAGAAACAAGCCTTAACATAAAATAGTTATATGTATATGAGAAAGGAGGTATTACATATCAGAGCAGAAGAAAAGGATTATTCAATAAGTGATGTTGGTGTAAGAAATAAAATATTAACTTAAGTTTTCATCCCATGGCATATACCAAAATAAATTCCAGAATCAAAATTTAAAACCCCTTTAAACAAATATAAATGAAGGCTAATGTTTATGAACTAAAGCATTGGAATACAATGCAATTGTAAAAAGCACCAAATTTGCCTTAGGGGGAAGCATCATGAACGCAGAGACCCTATAGGTCTCACCTATCACTGACCTCTGTGGCCAGCAGGAGATCTGGCACATGGTGTGTGCTTTACTAAATCTTTCAACATTTGTAAAATGTCTGAAAATCATTGTGTATTTCTTTCTTTTTTTTTTTGTAAAGGGAGAACCACAATCATTTCTTTAAATGGCAAATTAGAAAAATATTTGTCATATACTATATGAAACATGATGAATATCCTCTTATTAAGAGTTCAGTTTCTTTTACACCAAGGGAAGGGGAAATGGGAGGGGCAAGAGATGATTGACTGTGGACCCCAGACATGTGGGCTCCGGTAGGGGTCTGAGGAAGATAGTGCTTTGTTTGTTGACCCTGAGTTCAGTCCGGAAGTTCCTGTAAATCTTTGATAAACAATACATACTTCCTTTACCTCCTTGGGAGAGGAACTTTCTGGTAAGGGGCTGTTTTTGTAAAACTGAAGCCAAAAGTAGAATTTCTCTAATTAGCATGTCTATATGCAAGAAGCTATTAACCTAGAGACCATGGGAACAAAGCAGGCTTGAACAAGATGGAATCAGAGAGACCAAGCATTTCACTTGGTTACAGAAGTTCATCTCATACAGTTTGGGTGGGGGGGAGTTAATACAAACTTTTAGGAAAGTAAGTTTGCATTCTGTATTCACAGCCTTAAAAATATGTACTACTTTTGACTGTGTAATTACTTTTCAGAGAATATATTTTAAAGAAATTATCTGCTGCAAAAAACTTTATAAGAAGAGTTCATCATAGGATTAAATATGGTAGTGAAAACTTGGCAAGTCTGTGCCTAACAATGGGAAAATGGATTCTAACTTATGGTATAGCCACACAATGGAATATTATGCAGCCATTTAAGTGATTGGGAAAATACCATTGGGAAATAATTGTTTTAAAAACTACCGAGGAGACAAGGTGTTTGTGATTGCCAATGATATAAAATATGCATAGAAAAAAGATAAGCATAGCTTACTATTAGCTTTTACTGAAAGGGCAGGCATTCTCTCAGACCTTTGAAGGGTTTATCTCATTTACCCTCACATCAAAGCTATGAAGTATTTTATTTATTTATTTATTT